TTTTTTTTTTTTCCTCCGACTCTTTTGATACTAAAAAATCAGATTCCGGTCAACGAAAAAACAAAGGAAAAAGGAAAGGGAGAGGATCAAAGGAAGAAAGAGGCCAAAAATGAAAGTAGTTTATTTTCAGTTCATGTTCACCTTAATTCTCTTCCTATTTCAATAGCATTTGTCCATCTTCATCATATGCATCTTCATAACTTACACGTCCCTCCCCCGCATAGGGTGGCAATGGCATATGTAATTATACACAATAAATAGGTCCTTCCATGATTCGGTTTAGGCTAAACCACAAGGGTAGTTCACTAACTAACTCAAAGCCACCCAAAAAAAAAGGAGGAGAAGAAAAAAGATTCATGACGAAATGGAAAAAGGAGCAAAATAAACAAAGAAAAAAAAAATGGCAGCAAATGGCAGATAAACTATTTCTCCTGGAGTAAAATCACACTGTTGAGCAACATTATGACAAATCCTTAGTGTCAGAAGGATCGATGTACCTCCACAAGAAACCCAAACTGCTGCCCATTATATTCATAACTACTGCTGATATAGCCGAAGGTAATGCCACCATAGGCGAGCTGAAATGTGACGTGGCTAACACAACCCCCAGAGACGAGTTTTGCATGCCAACCTGCAGAAAATGAGATTTGTCGACATCGTCATCATCATCATCATCATCATCATCATCATCATCATCATCATCATCATTATTATTATTATTATTATTATTATTATTATTATTATTATTTTTATTATTACAACAAAAGTACATTTCAGAACAAAAAAAGAAGAAAACCAAATGTGAGAAGTTAACTTTACACACCAAAGGAGTCAAATTACAAATATAGCACCCGGTCGTGGTGTTTAGCCAAAATACAGAAAAGCCATTATCTTTCAGAATTTTCAAATACACCCCCATTAACCCCCTTGAGATTTATAGTAACATGGTTTTGGAACATCGATGCATTTGTTTTGTTCTTCTGTAACTGGATTGAACTTGAATGTTTTTTTTTTCCCTAATCTCAATGTTTTGCTTATAATGGAGACAAGAAATTGGAAGGGTCTTACTTCAATCGATATTGCACGCCGTTGTGGCTCCTTAAATCCACCAAAAGCTGCAGATATATACCTGTATGTGAAACTATATAATTTTATACCAGTTAACATGAAGAAGAAAGATAGAAATCTGGTACAAATGCGAGCACAAGAATAAGCTATTTCGCCTCACGAAATCTTTGCATCCATCTCAGGAAATCAGGTCCCAAAATCTCATTGATCATTTCAAACGGTAAAAGCCACAAAAACTAAAAAGAGCTCACTCCTAAGGAAAGAGTGAAATCTAGCTCAACACACACGAACTACTTACTCCTAAGTACTTACCCTACAAAAAAACCTGCAAAATGAAGCAATAGAACTGAAAGTACTATAGCACCCAACTCTCCTGAAATCATAGCTTGAGCACGATGAATTGGAGAAAGATCGGATGATAATGATGCACCAAAAACCGAGGACTTCAGACGAGCAACATTTTCTGAGAATACACTGGAAAATAAATGAAGAATTTGAGTAACGGCAACTGGAGGGTCTTAATCCTGCAGTTTTGAAGTGATTTTGGCAATGTTTGCAAATAATAGAAAAATGTTGATAAAACTAAAAGTGAGTATTTGTTGAATAAGTTGTAGAACCGTTGGCTTTATTTTAAAGTGACACAAGAGCCGAAATCATATATCTGAAACCAGCTTTTAGATACCGAGTGTAAATAGCATGGGATTAGACGTTGAAGCTGATATTTGGATAACAGTAAAACTACATTCTCTTCAGTCAAAAGTAGACAATCACTTTCTAACAGTGTTTCCAAACTCTCAATTAAAGTATCACAGATAACAAAGAATAGAGATGAAACATTAAGCATAAATAGAAGAAAAACAAAAAGGACCTGCAAGCAAGCAATGAGGAAGATAGAACAGCTAGCAGTGGGGCAAAAGGAGTCACTAGTTTCACATATTTAGGAAACATGCTCTGCAGATAAGAACCTAACAGAATTGGAGCAACTACCACCTGCATGGAAAAAAAAAAAAAAAAAAAAAAAAAAAAAAAAAGAAGAAGAAGAAGTATTAAAATTAATTATGCAAGGGAAAAAATGGAAAAGGCCGAAAATGGAGCATTAATTTTCACCTGTAAAGTGCTCATGGAAAGATTAACTGCGTTAATAGGGACATAAGTTCCGGCAAGGATCTTACACAGGAGAGGGGTAAGAATCACAGCCCCAAGTGTGGTGCATACCGTCATTACAATTGACAGTGGGACATCTCCTTGAGCTATTAAAGTTACCTGTAAAACTATTTTTAGAGAACTGAATGAAAATGAAGCATTTATAACACTGATAACTAGACAAACAGGAAAAATAAACGGAGGCTAGAAAAACATGCTACACTTTTTCATAGAGTAACATAACATAATACCTTGTTATATTACCGATTAACATAGAGTCACGGCATTTCTATTTTATCTTTCTTACTTTTTAACAAGTATTCTTAGCCTAGACTTTAATGATATCAATAACATTTGTTTCCTTGACTGGACCTTCAATTTGTTTAAGTTCATTTAACACCTCATCAATCTCTCACCACTAATGCATAAAAATGCTATTAGAAGATCTTCATCAGTGAATTATCATGTGTATTTTGGGTATTTTATTTTACTATTAATGATCACATTTCTTTACTCCACAATCACCCACCAGTTGATACCTAAAAGATTCGGCCGGAATAAATCAACTGTTGGCTGAAAATCTGAACATATGACTTATTTCAGGAGGCATAAACGCTTAGGTGCTTATCCATAAGGAGACATATGCAAATGTAGTTGACTTATATAGTAAATTACTTCGGTAAAATATGCATATAAGTACGTTGGTATATAAGATGAATTCACACAACTATGCAAAGAAATATGCGAGAGTAGTCTTACCACATTGGATGCTGTTCCGCCTGGACAACATGATAGTAATATTAAACCAACTGACAGTGAAGGTGAAAGCCCCATCAACTTGCTAACAATCACTCCGAAAGCAGGCATTATTGTGTATTGTGCAACACAGCCGTAGAGAATCTGATAAGACAATATTACAGACCTTTTTCATAACTAGAACTTTCCCACTCATATGCAAAGAGACGCTGATGAAGTTGAGTAATAAATATTCACTTCGAATGAAAAAGAATGAAAAAAGAAAATTTCAAAACAATATATATCTGGCCATCATGGCCATTTCTTTTTTTCTTAATTTTAATTTTCACGCGTAGTGATTGTTCAGTCATATTCTTTAAGATGTAGGTCAGGCAACAGCTCCCAATGAAAACTCATATGTGACAAAGATTAGCGTGTCCTGACTTTTCAAAATCGGCATCCAGAAGATTAAGAAGAGACAACTCAGAAAAAACTCAGAACACAGAATGTCACCAGTATTCAAGCTTCCAAAGTTCAAAAATAGAACATCTCTTCCAATTATCCCAAGCACTAATTCCGAATCCTATTAATAACCCTATGTCGAAGCTCCAAGCATTTAAGAATTTCCCAAACTAGGGACAGACTACTCTCGGAAAATCACTGGTAAAAAAAATTCTATATAATCATATATGCAATTCATTATCATACTCATTATAAATCCACGAACAACACCTCTGATGCATTTCCTTAACGAAACAAACTTTAAATACTGAAACTGCATAACACCTCTAAGCTATGTTTACTATCTTCTCTGTTCTTTTTAAAACACACACACAGACAAACTCACACAATCACAGGCACAGAAACTTTCAAATTTCAAAACAATACTAAGTAACTACAAAAGGTGCCCCTAAGATTTAGCATAACCACAGAGCTCAACAAATCTTTCAAAGTAAAAATTACCCCTCATACTGCAACAAACGACCACTTTAATCACTCAAATGTATTGCCAAATTAATTCAACGCATCTTTAAGGCGCAATTTGCAAAAAGAGAAACAAATGTAGAAAGACAGCGCATTTTCGAAACACAAACTAAATATTTTCGTGATTAGACTAAATTCGGACAAGTTTTCGTATTAACCCCAACTATAAAAATGCGGAAAATGTCGATTCTTGATCAACTCACGGATAACGGCCTTTGCCTGAACAAATTAATCAACTCTTTGAGCTCCAGCGTAATCCCCATTGCCAGCATTATGAACCCAAGAGTCAAGCCATAAGAGGTTGGGCCCAAATTCACAAACCAAGAAAAAGTGGTGGGTCTAAAAAAGGCCACCACCCCACCAGCAGTCACATAGAGAGGGTACAAGCTAGCAGCAGCGGCCAGCCAATCTTCCCATCTGGCCTTCTCAGGAGGTACAACTCCTCCAGCTAAGTTCTCAAAGCTTTCACCGACACCTCGATGGTTGATATTACAGGAGAATCTCGAGTATGTGGGGTGGTTTCTTGGCCTGACAGAGATTCTGATACGGTCTTTTGGAGGTTTGTGAAGTGGGATTCTTCGAGTGGAGGGTTTGGAGTGGTGGATTACTGGGGTGAAGCAGAGCGAAAGAGACATTGTTCTTGATTTTTATGACAAAGATCCGATTTTTTTTCCCCCCTGTATTAGTAACCTAAGTAGCTTTCGATTTCTTGAATGAAAGAGTTATCAAGTTCATTCAAGGTTTCTGGTGGACCTGCGATGCTGTGGAAAAATCCAGGTAGCCATGCTTGGCCGTGTATAGCTCAATCATCATGATCCCTGTGGGACCAAATGCTCCCCCACGGAGTCTTTGGATTTTTCATGCACCGCGTGTGATGGACAAAAGTAGGGGTGTTCACGGTCCGGATTAGTCCGGTTTTAGCCCAAACCATGACTAAACCAGACCTAACGATTAATTTTTTTTCTTGTCCATAACCAGATCGATTTTACTTTTTAACCGGCCACAATTCGGACCGCATTGGATGGTCCGGTTTGGCGGTTAACCGGTTAAATCCAAAAACCTTGTTTTGGGCCTTCAATTTTATTTTTTTTCATTTTGGGCTTAATTTTTATTTTCCAATTTTGGGTCCAAAATAGATTATTTGGGCCTAAAAATTAAGGAAAGACAACAATAATGAAATAAAAAATACACAATTCGTCTCATAAGCATAAATATACAAATTTCGTCCCATAAACATAAAAATATAAAATGATAGAAGATTAAATAATGCAAACTGAACTCAAGCAAGGTGGAAAAAAGTGAAAAGTTATATTGTCTTACAAAATTAAGTCAACAAAATATCAAAAAGTGAAAGTGAATGTATTATATTTGTCATAGTGAATGACTGAATGTATATATGCATATATATATTTGTTATATTTTTTTATATTTACTGGTCCGGTCCGGTTAAACCGGCGGTTTGCCGCAGGTAATCCGTTAACCGGATCGGTTATGCCGGATTTTTAAAAAAATTAACCAACGGATTTTTTAAAGCTTTTTTAACTGACCATTTAACCAATCTGCGGTCCGGATTGACAGTTTTTTCTGGTTAAAACCGAACCGTGAACACCCCTAGGACAAAGTGTGAGAGTAATGCTCTTTTACTCACGGTGGACACATTTTATAATATACTGATCGTTTATGTGACATGCATATATTGATGATGTATTTTTTTGAACATATTAACATCACCAAATATTCGAAAAGAAGTTTGAATAAATTTTGTTCCGCCGGCAATTAATAAAATCTATTTATATACATGTATATATATACAATTGCTGGTAAGCTTAAATAGATTTTATTCAACCAGCAATTATAAAAATAGGACTTTATTTAATAAAAATATTTATGACCAACAATCAAATGAACGTTACACAAGAAAAACCTTATTATTGTTAAGTTTTTATTCTGTAACAACTTTACAAGATTTTAAATTTTCTGAATATACAATATAAAATTATTTTACTGCTAATATTTCTATTTTGCATTATATATACCCAATAACAAAAAGACAATGATATTTTATATTACAAAGTTACAACAATAATATTGAAAATTAAATACATCCTAAAAATAAAATGTCTTCACCAGCTCCACAAATTGTTCCTGCAATTCATACAAAAACTATTAGTTATTTTAATTTATTGAATACATAATCGAAGCCAAATATTACAAAATTTGCAACATTCAAAATAGAAACATCCAACAAATCAGATCAATTTTATAATCAGACCACTAACTCAAACACAATTTAAACTTAATCAATCCCAAAACATTAGTTACAATTATATTATGTATTAAATCTTAATAATAAAATTTTTAAAATAAAATAAAATTTCTTATAAATGTCTTAATTTACTTATCTAGAAGTTTAATTATACTCTGGATAATAACCACACTATCTTAAACTATTACCATATATTAAGTACTTAAAATTTAAAACAAAAAAATATTAGAACATAAATAGTTGTGATATAATCAGACCATTGATCAACTTAATTTTGCTTATTCAATCCATAAAGATTATCTATATTTAAACTTTGAATTATTATATAAACAGAATTTTCAAAATAGATTTTTATACAATGATTAAGCTCAATTAACACTAGAAAATTGGCAATTTAATATAAGAAACACACGTTTTTCAATCATTTTTATAAAAGAATGTGCTTGAGTTCATAAATAGTGTTTCTCAACATATCTCTATCGTTGTGGCTCCCACTAAAATTACCTGACATCTGAATACGAGCAGCTGGGAGCCTAGGAAAGGAAGCAATCGTATAGGTCGTTTGCACTTTGTCCCCTTGGTGCTGGTGACATCTATTACCTGAGGTGTCTTATCAACGAGGTTAGAGGTGCAACCTGTCATCGTGACTACATGAAGTTGAATAGTGTACAACATGATTCATATCGCGACGCGTGTTTTTTCTTCGGTCTGATGGAGCAAGGCAAGGAGTATATTGAAGACATTATTGAGGCATGCCAATGATCGAGCGCAAATTCGTTGAGAAATCTTTTTGCAACTTTGTCGTCGTCTGATACTCTCGGACGACCGGAGTTTGTGTGAGAATCATGTTGGACTTACCTATCGAATGATATATTATATAATCGTCGAAGGTTTTACAGCACCCAGGTAAAAGAATCATTTATGTTTAGCTATTTTTGCTTTTTATATTTTCTTTCATTCTTTTGTTATATTTTTTAATTTTCTTATATTGTTTTTACAGAATTGGTGATGAGCAATGATAATATAAAGAATCTCGCTTTGGCAGAGGTTGAAAAATTTTGCGCAGACGTGGGGTGAGTTTATGCGAGTATGTCACAATGTCTTTTTCTAATCTCGATCGTAATGATGCATCCACAAATAGACTGATGATGGATGAGTTGAATTACGATCGTCGTGCACTCGCTAATGAGAATCAAGAGTTGGTTGTCAATATGACTGACGAGCAGTGGAATGTTTATGGATCGAAAATGGACTATGTTTACCGTACCCACGGCCGCATGTTTTCATTTATGGTTGTGGCGACACCGGTAAAACATATGTCTGGAGGGCGTTGTCTTCTGCTTTGAGATCCAAATGTGAAATTGTGTTGAATGTTGCTGTAGACATCGAAATTTTAATATTTTATTAATTAATATCTTTATTTATTTTGGGACATAAATCCAAGATAAATAAGATAATTAATTAATAAATTATTTATTTCTTGCCCACCAAGTCAAATCTTAGGATAATGAAAGAAATTATATCAAATCTTAGGAGAGGGAAAGAGATTATGTCAAATCATGAAGGACCAATCAAATTGAAGTCTTCTTCTCCAAGACCTCTTTCTCCTACACCTATAAATAGGGCTCTCCTCAATGTCACAAATCACACCTCAAACACCTCAAAAATATCAAACACATCTCAAATATTAAAGTCTCAAATTCAAGAGCTCTCAAGAACCCTCTTGAAGATTTGAATAAGTTCTTGAAGAACCGTCCGAAGTCCATTCAATGAAGAAGAAGGCCAAAAAGAAGAAAAAGAGGCGGCAAGTCTTCCTCAAGAAGTAAAGAGACGACTTTCACGCTTCTCAAGTCAATGCAAGAATATCAACGACGTTCAAGCGACATTCAAGCCGCGTTCGTTGAGAAGTTCAACCAACATAGCGTTTGATCCGGGAAAAAGCTATCAGCCCCCAAATCAACGTTATTCAAGTCAGAGTCCCTCTTTCAAGAAGATCAAAGAATCAAGTCTTCCAAGAAGTCATATTCAATCAAGTCAAGGCCTAACATTTAATACGGGAATAAGTCATTCGACCCCCAAATTAATGTTAGAGAAATTCAAGACCAAGCCCGAAGGATATTCATTCATCAAATCCATCTTTGAAGGTCTGAATCCCAAATTTATGAAGAGAAGAATCAGAGGAGATAAATAGAGATTGTACCCGCAATATCATTTGATCGAAATATATTCAAGTTGTACAAAAGTTTTATGTTTTTCATAAAATTTGTTGTTACAGTTGCATCAAGCGGTATCGCATCACATTTGTTGCCCGGCGGAAGCACTGCGCATTCACGATTCAAATCCCACTAAACCCAATGGAAGACTCTACTACGACATTAGCCAGCAGAGTCCTTTGGCCGAATTGATCTTACGATGTATGTCGATCATTTGGGGTGAAGCCCTGATGATGAATAAATATTGCTTCCAGACGGTTGATAACACCTCGCTAGCCTTAATGGAAGCAGTTGATCCATGAAGAAAAAATCTCCCATTTGGATGCAAGTGTGTTATGTTTGGTGGAGATTTAAGACATATACTCTCTGTTGTCCATAAAGACAGTCGAAGTGACATAGTTAATGTAACCATCAATCCATCCAAGTTGTGGCGCGATTGTATCATTATGAGACTGACTCGTAATATGAGGCTTCGAAGCCTTGGGCGGTGATTGGTACGATGAGTTGAGTCGCTTCTCGGAGTGAATTGCAAGCATCACTGACAGTACAATCGGTGGATCAGACTACGGTTGTGCCAATATTAACATCCCCGACGATATTCTTCTACACTCACAAGGACTTTTTATTGCTACTATTCTTGAGAGTACCTACCCAGTGTTCAGGAGTTCAAGCGACGATCTTAGCTATCTGAAGGACAGAGCCATACTCGCTCCCACAGTTGATGTGGTTGAGTCCGTTAATAAGTACATGAGCTCACTGAACTCATTCGAGGGAAAGACTTATTTTAGTTCGGACACCCCGTGCAAATTAGATGTTGGGCATGATTCTCTTAAAGATCTTCACGCTCTTGAATCTCTCAACTGGATCAATTGCTCAGGACTTCCGAATTATAAACTGCATCTGAAGGTCGGCACTCCAGTGATGCTTCTCATAAACATTGATCACTCGGAGTTGTACAACGACACTGTTCATCAAAATTCAATCTACCATCTATATTTTCTTTTATCTTTGTACACATTTGAGTGTTATTTTTGTTTTCCGAACTTTGATATCAACAGGTACACGATTGTTTATCACTAAACTCAACATGATATCCTCGAATGTAGGATTTTACGTGACAGAGCTGGTGGCAAGGTTCTTATTCCTAAGCTCACAATCATACTATCCAATTTGAAGGTACCGTCCAAGTTTCAACGCGGACATTTTATACTCATGATTTCCTATGCTATGACTATCGACAAGAGCAAAGGCAGCCATACGCTTACTAATGAAAAAACATGTATTCAAAAAACATGTATTCAATTATGGACAGTTGTACGTGACACTTTCTGGAGTCACGAATCTGAGGAATTTAAAGATAATGATTTGCGGTGACGAAGATTGTGACGATAGAAAAACCACGAACGTAATATGTAAAGAAGTGTTTAATAATATCTAGATTTCTTTCTTTT